GTGGAGAACCACAAGTTTCAAGTTATGTCCTGCACAAGGGTGGAGGGGGGGTGTTGTGTACTGTAGTTAAACTCGTGATGAAAGAAACTGAGGAGAAATTACAGGAAACTTTAATCAGATACTTAATATATTTAAGCATCAGCAAAACCTTATGGTAGTGTTCTATGTTCATGCATGTGAAGAAAGGAAGAAAACATGTAAGTTCAAATGGACACAAGACAGGAAAAAATAAGTAGCAATAAGTAAAAACATTAAGAGAAACTAGGAAACTAGGAAAGTACTGAAGTGAAGGCAAGACATCTGATTGAAAGTATGAAAACAGGGAGAGATTAGCAAAAAGAAGCTAAATTTGGGGATGAATAAGATTTTATAATAAATGTGGACTTGAGGAAAAGATTTTTGACATTCAAAGATGGCAGTAGCAGACGATTAGAACTTTGAACTGAAAGGAACCAAGTAATCTAGGGTATTACTTTATAGTGGTGAGCAGAAATTCTTTACGAAAACAAGATCTGCAGAAAGAAACTGGATGTCCAGAGTAAAGGTCAATGATGGGTCAGACATTTTACATGTATATTCTCTCTCTGTCTCCAGGGCAAGAACATGAGCAGTGGTCATTGATCACTGATTAATAACAAGCAATGATCATTATTATAATCATTTTTACCTTTGAGAAAACTGAAGCTCAGGACATTAGCCACTTTGCCCAAAGTTGCACGGCTAGGAAATGTTGGAAGCTAAAATGAGTGTATGTCTTCAAATCTGTGCTTAAAAAACAAAACAAAATAAAGCAAAACAAAGCAATGACAACAAAAAAATAACTTCAAACAAAAAACAACTACATCACATTGCTGCTCAAAAGAAATGAATTCAAAAGAGAGCTGAGGTAGAATGGGGCCAAAGAAACCCTTGGCAGATTTGGCCTAGAGCACTACTTCCCGCTGTTTGCAAGAGCATCACGGCAGTGGGCATGTGAACAGATAGCAGCAGGGAAAAGTGGAAGCCGCAGAGGCGTCGGGAGTGGTCACTTCCTTAAGAATTTTGAGGAAAAAAAAGCATAGTAAATGACCAATAACTATTTAATATTGAGTTTTTCTTAATGCAATGGTTGAATAATATCTAGAAAGACAGGTTGTTCAACAAAGTAAGGGTTCGTTCTCTAAAATGCTACATTTAAAAGCTCTAATTTCTTAACTGTTGTTTTTTAAATCATCCTCTATACTGGATAATTCCCAACATTTTTTTTTTTTAATCAGTGAGCTGAAATAGCGCTTAATTTCCCAACACATAATCTATTGAACTCTGTTGTAGGGTCCTCCTATTACGTTTTCTTTAAAGTCATTCTGTTTACAATGACAAAAGACAACAGCACTGATATTTCCATTCAGGATACCAATGTGTTTTTGAGATGCTGATGTATTTATTTCTTATGATATCTGGCAACAGAAATGGATGATACAGAGATTTTTTTATAACCAAGATATAAAGAAATAGAAGCTTCATTTAATTTTGGTTTGGGGGGAAATTTTCGTATTGATTCTGGGGGAGGTTTTCGTGCTGATATTCCCAGAGTTAACTGAATTTTCAGTAATTTGCTATTAGTACTCACTATACTTGATGCTGCCACCGTAATGAAAATTTTATAAAGCAGGAGGAAGATGTTAGGTTTCAATTTGGATGACTGCCAAGTCCAAATCTCTCATCTTGATGTAGCTCAGCTCCAGTCCCACTTTTTCAGCTGCCTCAGGCTATTTCCATCTGAACGGCCCGTTATTAACTTAAATTCAACAAGTGAAAAATCAAGTTTGGTGTTTTAGTCCTCAAATTCTTCCTTGCTGGCTCCTTTATTTTTGCTACCAGGACCATTGATGTAGTTGCCCAGACTCAAAACTTTCAACTACAATCATGGGAGCTACTATTGATTGAGGGCTTCCCATCTGATAAGCACTTAGTAAACATGTACTATTGCTTGTTTTTAGCAAGCAAGGCGGCCCCTCCAAGCCCCTTGCTGAGAGCCACTGTTGGGCTTCATGGGGCTGGCTCTGATAGCTGCCCTCTTCACCACCTTCTGCCTCGGTCTAAAAAACTCTGTGAGGTGGATACCAGCTTTATCACTGCTTTGCTTTAAAATGAGGAAGCTTTGGCTTAAGTGAGTTATGTCATTTACTTAAGGTCACTTACTTAACTAGTGACTAGGACAGCAGGACTCAGACCTGAGACTGAAAACATCCAGAGCCTCTTGGTCACCTGGGATTCCTCCTTCTGATTTGCCTCATCATGAAGACTGTCCCTAAACCGTCCCATTCAACTGTCCTCTCCTTTCCATTTCACTCAGTTCAGCTTCTCATCATCTCTCCCGTCTCCTGGGTGGTCTTCCTGCTTTTTACTGACAGATTCGTCTTCTTAAAGGGTCACTGCTCATACCTGAGGAGCTGAATGAAAAGCCTTCAGTGACTACTCAAGTGTAGCTTTCCTGCCCAGACATTCAGGTTACCATCCATGGACCCTTCCAGTCTGCGTTCTAACCACTTATCTTCATGAACACTGTGTTTTATCCAGTCTAGACTTCTTCCTGTACTCTGAACACCTCTGTCTGTTGAAATTCTACTTAGCAACTTCAGAGCCCAAGGAAGTGCTACTTCCTTCAGAAGCTGTGCCCAATTCCCTTGAGCAGATAAAGATATTCTGGACTTTTCTTATGAAAACATATTCTAGCCTATACTGTGGTCACTTGTGTACTTATCATCCCTATAGCATCCCGGCTCCTCTAGAGTTAAACACTGTGTTACTATTATCTTTCTTGTTGGTAACTAGGTAGCAGAGGGCAATCAGTGCCTGTGATCTTACTTGAAAGTTAAAATGTGTTCAGTTTTATTGTTTGGTGCTGTCAGGATATGTGGTCCATGAACTCAAGATGCTTTCAGTCTAGTAAGGAAAACAAAATTATTATTCACAAATGACCTAGAGAACAATCAGGAGCCCAACTATGAGAGATGAAAGCAGAGAGAGAAGAGGAGGGAAAGAATGGATGGAGAAGGATTTAGAGAAAAGACAAGACTAGAGTTTGATTCTGAAAAGGGAAGAAAGTTGCTTTAAGTGAAAAGGGGTGTTCTGAGTAGGGAAAAGCATGAGTGAGGGTTCTGCGGTGGGGGTGGGCACGGCAGGTCTGGGAAGGAGGACGTCACTTTAGGATGAACACCAATTGGGAAGGCAAAATACTAGGAAAGTTCAGGGTGTCTCAAAGTAAAACAATTCCCTCAAATTTACAGTGTCATTTCTTTAAAAAAAAAAGGCTTTATTTTTAAAACTGAGATACAATTGACATGGTGTAAGTTTAAGGTATACAATGTGTTGACATGATACATTTGTATTTTACATATGATTACCACCATGGTGTTAGCTAATGCAACCATCAAAGCTTCCTGTCATCAGGCTTTTTGTGATAACCAGCACTCTTCCAAGTTAGTCGCAATTAGTGGGTTTTTATTGTATATTCTTATGCTGCTATATAATTTCTAGATTTCATCATTGACTGAATTATAGTACATGGCAATATGCTGTTTAACTAACTCTTTTTTGCTTTTTAAGTACTTTCATGTTTTAAGGTTTTGATCCTAACACAGCCTAGGACAGATGGTAAGAAATTATCTCATGGATGAGACGTTAGGACTCTAAAAAAATAAAGCCGTTTTTGTAGTGGACATTCTATCTACTAAGCAATTTTCTTCATTCTGATTTACTCATGTGAAATTGCAGTAGGATTGCCCCTTCTACTGCTCCAAGACGGGAGATCCTCACAAATGTGTAATGAAAATATGCAGCTCATTTACTTACTCTCTTTATGATCTAATCCAGATTCAAAAGTGGCCTATGGAGATGGACAAATATTGGTTGTGATGAATTATTACACATATTCCCAATAAGGCAGTAACAGAAAAAAATAATGAAAATTGACTAATTCATTTTGAAAAGTTACCTTAAAAGTCAGAACAAATAGAAGGAAAGGGATTTTTAAAGTATACATTTTTTTTTTTTTTTTTAGTACAGATTCTTTTGGGGGAAAATAAGACATCAATACATTTTAAAGCTATAAAACATTGACCATTTTCCTATTTGTTAAATTCTTTTCGACATGAATGACACATCAGTTTTTTCTCTTAAGACTACAGCGTTTCTAATTTTCTCCACATGTGTACAATTGGTCTTTGACTAACAAATGTCCTCTGGGCAGTTCACTCACCATCCGGGAACAACGTCTCAGCATCATTTCATATGCACACAAAGGGTTGAAAGCTCTGTAAAAATAAATGATCCATGGGACAAGCTACATTAACCGGCAGAAGAATAAGCTATTTCAGCCCCCTGTAAATTTTAGCGCCATCCATTCAAAGCTGCACTGGGTCACTTTTGCACTAAATTCATAGGAACAAAATAGTAAATACACATGTTTTATTTGTTAAGCTGCCAGCTATATATTTAATGTAAAAAGTTTGTTAGCCAAGGAAAACCTATTTAAAGAGTGTTTATTTAAAAGCGGTGTCTCTTTCCAATAGATGATTTTAAGTGTTACAGATACATTTCCTATTAAACATCATGTATATTTAATACGGCAATGTCTACTGCAGTGCCCTAAAAGCCTTTGTTCGCTTTATAGTTTCCATTACTGGAGAGCCGACATTCAGTTCTCCCACAGTTTTGTAAAGTGCAGGCAACCCACAAGAGCTTCTAGTTTTAGCTAGAGCAGCCCCGTGGGACGACGATAATTGTTATGAAATCATTAATTCTACCTCAGCAGTTTCAACTGTCAGGTACATGTAACAATAATTGCAGTTAATGAATGCTGCTCAATTTATTAAGCATGAAATGAAAACCAGTATTTTTTTATATGCAGCACTGAGACACATTCACGTGTATCATTTGTATACTATGTTGAATATTCTTCTGCCCTTTATTGGTCAGGGTATATAGCCATGTTTGTTTGTCTTTAACTTCTCTTCATCAAAAACAACACAGGGAATTTTAATTCTCGCTACAAAGAGCAATTAAAATAATTAGTACCAAAAGTAAGAATCCATGTTTATGAGGAACAATCCAGCAGAACCAAGACTTAGTTCCTCCTCTGGATAAACAAGAGTCTTTCCTTGCCTCCCTTCCCTCCCTCAGTTCTTAGAGGAGCATAAAAAAGTCCAAAAATTCCAATTGTTTGAAATATTAGTGTTGTTTCTTTCTCAAACTTTTGGGCAGTAAAGCTTTCGTGTACATAGATATGGTCTATTTTGATTTTAAAAAGTAAGAACGGATTTATTTTCAGTCACTCGAAGTAAACTGCATAGACGCTTGCAAGAGCAAAGAGAGAAGAATTTCTGAAAACAGAAGATGAAAAGGTGTCACTTTTAGGATCCCAGAGGCACCTGCTTCCAATAAGAATGCTCTCACTTTTCCGTTGTCCGATGTGAACAATTACAATTAGCTTGTACCGTGGAATCATCAGGTCCTTGACCTGGGTTTTAATAACCTAGAAATTGAAAGAAGAACAGCAAAAAAAGGTCCTTACTTAGTCACTCTGAAACTTAGGAGGCTTTATCTTTGTCATAAATATGGTGGATTTAGGAAAATCACATGATGTGTCATAAATATGCTGGATTTAGGATTTTTAGTAACTGTTGTAGAAACTTCACTATGATTTCCTTTAAGCACCGTTCTCCTGAGATAGGACATTTAGAGACAAAATTAGAGCACCAGCAATAAATCTACATTTTCTAAGACACATGAAGAAACTGTAATCCAGAGAACAGGATTTAAAGGATTTATTACATTCTTTGAAAATCTATGTTAAGACGGCTTCCCTTCAAAGAATGTTGGCGTGAGAGTTATACCACCTTGTTTACGTCTAATTAAGGGAGCACACGTCTGGAGTCTCCTGTAATAGGACTAACCATGAATGTTTATTAAAGAGCTTGTTATAAAGAGGAAAGTAAAGAAAACCTAATGGAGTGCCAGCACTTTAGTTGATAAAAATAGAAATGTATTTAAAAACCACAATATCTGTATTCGATGGCACTCAGGGAAACTAGCCTGAACAAGAGAAAATGATCACTAAAATATATCTTTGGCAATAAATTTTTTTTCTTCCTAAGATTTTATTTATTTATTTGACAGACAGACATCACAAGTAGGCGGAGAGGCAGGCCGAGAGAGAGGGAGAAGCAAGCTCCCTGCTGAGCAGAGAGCCCAATGTGGGGCTCGATCCCAGGACCCTGGGATCATGACCTGAGCCGAAGGCAGAGGCTTTAACCCACTGAGCCACCCAGGTGCCCTGGCAATAAATTTTTTAATAAATGGGCATTTGTAAACATTTTTTAAACAAAATACATGCAAAATGATACACATAATAGTTGTATTAGGCAAAGGCTTTTTACACACACACACACACACACACACAGAATATGACCCCGTAAATATTTTCATAAAATATAAATAAGCATTTTTACTGCTACTGCAAATTAATTGCCTTCATCAAAAAGTAAGCAGTTGTCCTCTTAACAATATTCTAATTAACCCCGGGAAAATCACATATATACCTCAGAAATTGTTTTAGCCATCTGTCTACAGAGTTCTGGTTCATATTGCTCTTCTTGCAGATAGTTAGTTAACACATCTTTCAGGATTTGATTGACAATGACCACAGGAAAATGTTGGGTGGGACCTGCAAATACAGATGAAATTTCTAAGTGATTTCAAATGTTCTCCGCCCACCCGTCATCTAATCAAAAGAGTACTGAATCATGGAGAGACATTTCATCTTCTGGGTGGCCTCTATTTAAGGAAAAAATGGTCTTAACTAGGCTTCCAGACAGGTTCTCTGGCAAAGGACCAGAAGAAAACACACTGTGCCATTTCTTAGACTACCTAAAGAGTGTGGTCAATACCGTTGAGATTTGATATTGAAAGTATCCTCCTTCCCAGTTCCCACTATTAATGACTTACTTTAAAGTCTCAACATCTTTCTAACTGACCCCCAGGTCTTATAACCCCAGCTTTTTTCTCCAATGTATGTATACCACACTACAACTGGAGGGGTCGCTCTAAAACCCAGATCTGGCTATGACATTTCCTGTAGCAAAGTCTAAGGTCCAGCGCCTCTAACCTCTTTGCCCCCCACCATAGCCCTCTCTGTGGCTGCTCCAGTCTCTTGAACTTCATCTGTCTTTCAAGGGACGCTTGCGAACATTTGTTCTTGCCCCTCTTTTTAAGGGGGATGGCCTTCCCTATCTGGTTCATCTGAAAAATATCCACTCACGTTTCAAGGTCAGCTGAAATGTCTTCTCCAGGCTGCCACCTTCTTCTCCTCAGGTAAAAAAAAAAAAAAAATCATCCCTTCTTTTCAGTACCCCCAATTCTCTGGGTCCCCACTGCTCCAAATCCACCTGACAATAGCTAAAGCATTTCTGCCTTTCTCCCCAGTGAAATGGTAAGCTAGATCAGATTTTTCCTCTGCAGAGTCTAATACAATGCAAAAGGCAGAAGAAAGATTTAATGTGTGATTTCTGAATTTAAATAGAAGTAAACATTGTATAGGTAATAATCATAGTACAGATAATAACTACTTTCATTGAGCATATTTTACATATCATGTACTGTGATAAGTATATATTTATTACCTTACATAATCTTGCAATAAATCATTGGGGTGAATTTTACTGTTATCTCCATTTCACACACGGGAAAACAGAGGTTTAAATACATTCAGTAACTTGCCCAGAATCACACAGTGGCAGAGCTGGGAGGTACTTCCTGTTTTATCTGACTAGAGCTTATATTCTTAACCACATTTAGTCCATGTTCACAGCAGAGGCTTCAGATGGATCTTCTTTATTCTGCATCCCAGGAATCTTCCCTGTCCCTCCTGGGAGTATTAACCTCATCATCTCTCTGCCATTGCATGACATGCACATGTGCCCGGAGCCTGGCGTATAGTGGCTCCGTCATTAGTTGCTGAATTGATATAGATAAAGGAATGACATCCAGAATTATATTCAATTCTATTTTACTAGTCATTAGTATTGTTTATTGTTTATTTTCAATGACTGTATCAGGGTCTCAAGACACATATGGCACACTAAAAGTAGGACAACTCCTGGAGGATTTACTAAAGAGACTCCTTAAGAAGTTCCAAGCTGGAAACTGGACCAAAGGATAGTGCAGTGTCCCTTGACTAGTGACACTGAGGGTGTCACCCCATCCTAACCCAGGCTTGAGGGGTCTGAGAAGGGAACTCTTACTAGATCCGTTAGAGGCACATGGAGAGCGCTCCCTTGAGGGCAGCTATGCCCTTCCACTGATGGATGCAAAGAGCGTGAGATGAACCCACAGTCAGGGCTTGGGGGAAATAAAGACCCCAGCTCACTCTCCTTCCCACTCTGACTTTCCACTGAAGTTTTCCACTGGCCAGACTTAACTGGAAGGCTACAGCCTGGGGCTGTAATTGAGTTAGGTCAACCTCCTGGGGCTCAATACATAGTATTTGTATTTTGATGATTATATGGGAATTGTTCAGTTAAATCATCCTGGGGGAATGCGTCTGGATTGGTTAAAGCGAGAGTCACCTGATACAATGAGTATGAGGATTAACTCCAATATTTAGTTAGTAGGAATCTGTGTTCTATAGGACAGACAAGCGGTTACAAACATGGTAGACTTGTAGATTTACAACTCTAGGCTGGTCCTGACTGCTCCCATCTCATGGGGTCAGAAATAGGGCACCAGCCCATGTGGGCAAGTTCCTAGGCACCTACAAGCCTCTGTGGATCTTTTACATTTCCATCTGCATTCTTGAATGAAACAAAGCTAAATTTGAGAGTGGTTTCCCATTCTATTCAAGGAGGTTTTTTTAATTAACATTTAATGTATAATTTGTTTCAGGGGTTCAGGTCTGTGAATCATCAATCTTACACAACTCACAGCACTCCCCATAACACGTACCCTCCCCAATGTCCATCACGCAGTCACCCCATCCCTCTGACCCTCCTCCCCTCCAGCAACCCTCAGTTTGTTTCCTGAGATTAAGAGTCTTTTATAGTTTCTCTCCCTCTCTGGTTTCATCTTGTTTCATTTTTCCCTCCCTTCCCCTATGCAAGAAATTTACAGATGATATTCCTGGCTTGGACTAAATTAAATAGGTTATGTATATTCTAACTATACCTTTCTGTTGTTCACTCCCTCCTACCCAGCACGCATATTGCATATACCTTGACCTACACCACTCACATGGAACTTAATTTGGCCACATATTAGAGTAACTTGTATACATCATTTCCTTCAGCCAACAGTAAATTCCCTCAATGCAGATATCTGGGGACGGCCTCTTGCCTCCTAGGAAGATGAGAGTTTTTCAACTCTAACCAGATAATTCTTTAGAATCTGTTATCACCTCCTTGAGCCTAAGTCCAGGTTATGGTAGATGGCCCAAGCCAGGCCAATTAGAATCCTTTCTCAGAATTTTGATTTTAAACTGGAACTAGGGGGGGAAAAAAGCCAACCTCTTTCTGGTGACAAAAGTTATCACATGTGATCCTGAGGAACTGTAGAAGGCCATGACTCTCACCATGGAGAGGAAGGCAGGCCACGGTGAGAAAAGGAGGCCTACACCCAGCTTTGTGCTGGAAAGACAGAATCCTGGTTGTCCCCGAGTTCCTGTTTCCAGTAGCTCCTACTGTCTAGCTGTACCAATTTCCTTTCTGCCCTGGGCTTTGTGTGTGTGTTTTTTGTTTTTTGTTTTTTTAAATCTCATTAACTAGATCTATTTTGAAATATCATCATGGACTTTTCTTTTCTCATTTTCTTTTGTCATTGTTTTGTGACCTCTCCCCTATGCAGCCAGAATTATCCCTTGCCTTGCTCAGGCTGGGACGCTGAGCTGCAAAGACAAAGAAAGCGTGGATGTTCAGCTTTTGCCTTCCCAAATGATCTCCCTAATCTACCTTCAGATTCAACTAATGGGAATGGCAAAAGTTTTTTCTTTTCCTTTTCTTTCTTTTTTTGAATGGATTTTTTTTTTAAGGGAAAAATATTTTTAGAAATTGAAAAGCAAAGATCTGAAGAAAGGTTGGAATGAAAAAAAATAAAGGAAAGGAAAACAAAAGAAAAGAAAAGAAAAAAGAAAGAAAGAAACACTTGTTACAAAAATATATTTAAGGCAGAAAAGATAAAAATTTGGTTATTTAATATGTCTGTGTGTCAGCTTCCCCAAATTGCGGTAATAATAAGAATTCTCATGCACTGTTTTTTATTAGGATTAAATGAGTTTAAATATTTAAAACTTTTAGAATAGTGCCTGCCATGCACTAACCCCCCCTACTCTTGAGGTATTATTATTAGTGTGGTTGTTATCCTTGCTACGTCATGTTGAGGGAGGAGATGTTGCAGAGAAGGCAGCAAGATCGGGCGACGGTGTAAGTAGGGAGGCAGTGAGACCTCCACAGTCAGGAAGGACCCTAGCCGGTAGAGGGGAGTCAGGGGAGAGAGCGTGACGGTTTCTGTCCATGAGAGCATCTGATGACAGGGCCTGATCACCCCAAGGAAGCTGAGCTCAAATGATGTCTCTCTTTCTCTCTCTCTCCATCTTCAGGTTCTACTTTTTGTTATGTTGTTTACATTTTCAGGCAGGCTGTCTCGATGTGACAACAAAAATATAGCCACCGCTGATCTCCTGCTTACAGTCAGTGTTTTAAAAGAATCAGATACTTCTAATTAATGAGAAAATTTAAATGGTGTTTTATTACAAGAAATATGCTTTGATTTTTCCATTCCCTTTTTTCTTTCGTTAATTATACTTATGCTTTCATCTCATTCCGGCTATAATTACTCAGATAAAGGGAGGACAAAAATACTAAGCATTTAAAATGTGTTTAGATGATGCAAATATTATTGGATAGACTGTGAAAAATTAAACACAGTAATGCTAATGATTGACAGGTTCCCCACACATAATACTCTTTTGGGAAGTATTGTGTTGTGTAGATATGAGAGAAAATCTTTACCAAAGGTCCACAGAGTACCTCTCAGATGCAAAATAAACTCAGAAACAAGTAGCATTGGAAATACATTTTTGTCTGAGTATTAACAAGACAGCTAGTTGAATGGTTAAGAAATGAATTGTTAAGCATGAAAGACTTTGATCCTAAAGGAATAATTCACATGACTTTTTGTAAGAAAATATGGGAAATAACTTTATACTAAGCTATTTCTAACATTACTTTTCTGACTTGGTTCAACACTCAGTACTTCTAAAATTGATAAGATGATTTAGTTTGTTTACTAAAGGAAATATGTTATGAAAATATATCCTTATGAAGAAGAAACACAGGACTTCATAGTTCAAATCTTTTATCTTGTCAAAATCTAATTCAAACCATTTCAGCGTGTAGAGCCCAATGTCATAGGCATCGAATGGTTAAGATCTTTTAGTTACAAGTGGAGGAATACCTGACCCAAACCTAGCTTGCCTAATGAAAAGTCTAAGAACAGATAGCTGAATTTAGGACTCAAATAATGATGTTAGGATTTGGTTTTCTCCCGGTCTCAGGCTTCATGTGTTGGGGCAGAATGGCAAAAGCTCACATAGCCATACTTCTTTCAACTTTCAGAACCTAATTGGCTTCTTCAACAGCCCCAACAACATTGTCTATGTTGAATCTCAAAGGCTTTGATTGGCTTGACCTATCAAAGGGTCATATGCTATCCCAGAATTAGTCACTGTTGTATCTTTGAAGCTAGTGTCGGCTTTAGCAGATTGTTATGGACCAAAAGTGGTACTGATGGCAGCAGTGGGGTTCTCCAAAGGAAACTGGGTAAGGTTACCAGAAGGATTGGAAAATTATGCTGGATGGCAGGAATATTAGTTGTCTACCCCAGGCACGGTGAGAATACCAGGAGACTGACTAATTACAGAACCTTGTAATCCATGTAGTCTTGGGGATTACTGTAGAGAACAGCTATAAGGCCTAATGGGATGCACCGATGGTCTATAATTTTCTTGAAGTTAACTGGCTACAGATGGAACCACTCTGGCCCATAGAGTCCTTCCTTTGGTCATTGGCAAGTCTCTGTGGAATTTCTATATAGCAGTAATTATATACAGTGGGCAGATAATAGCGGGCAGGTACACATTTAGAGAAAACAAGTTGGTCTATGCAAAAACATGAATGGGAAAATGTATTCACTGTGGACTCCATCTGGGAGTATAGGGGCAGGTGCAAAGATCTTTGTTTTCAAAGACCCAAAACCTCAGTGGAAAGGGATAAACACCTCTGTCAACGAGGGACCAGAAATCATTTGCTTTGGCTTTGAAGTCTCCCCCCCCCCACACCTATCAACAACATTGGTTGGGTTTGCTGGATAAAACTTCAGTGCATATATCTTTCCTTTAACTTGAGCATATATAAAATAACTGTACAAGGATAATCCAGAAATACCCAGAAATGAAATTCTTGGTCCAGTACTATGCAATACACATTAGTGCTGCCAGTGATTTGCTCGGGATTTAGGAAACACTGATAAAGAAAACTAAGCAATGGGTGTTGGCCCCAATCTTGCAGAGGACGAAATTAAAACAGTATCAAATCACTTAATTGAAACCCCTTATATTGTGCTAATATTGAAGATAAGACCATGTTATCAGATACTATTTTAAGTAAATAGTGAGATTAGAAGTTTAAAATAAGGGGGCACCTGGGTGGCTCAGTTGGTTGAGTGGCCAACTGATAATTTCACTCAGGTCATGCTCTTGGGGTCATGGGATGGAACCCCATGATGAGCTCTGTGTGTTCAGCACAGAGTACACTTGAGATTCTTGCTCCCTCTTCCTCTGCCCCTACCACCCAAAATAAATAGATAAATAAATAAAATCTTTAAAAAAAAAAAAGAATTTTAAAATAGGAATGAATGATAAAATAACAGACCCAACTGATAGGTGTTTTCCATCTGAACTGTAAGGCGAGAGGCCTCGTCACCCTGGCTAGGTTCATCTGTATAACACACAGTACTCCTGGAGCTAAAAGCAAGGGAGAAGACAAATTTCAATAGTTATGATAATAATAATAACAACAAAACACATTGTTGCTTTTAGCAAAAATGTTACAAAGGTAAAGTTTCTCTAAGAATATTTCAAGCAAGTCTCCATATCAAATATCCCAATGTCTAAAGTCTAAAACATTTTAGAGAGGGAACAATCAAGACCTAGAGAAGTTACTTGGAGCAGGTCTCCATATAGTGGTTGAAGCCCAATGCAGCCCAGTGAAGCCCAAGGCATCTGACTATTCAGAAAGTGTTCATGAGTTGGTCTGTTTTAAAAGCCATTGCCAGAGGCATCTCCACCACAATGCAAAGGCTCTCTCCTCAAAGTGGACAAAACTAACAAAAGGGACTGGAGAATATAGGAGGAAGCTTAAAATTCTGGGAAACAACTATATATGCTATTAAACTTCATAAAAGTTCACAAGTTCACTCTTAAACATACCACACAAAATCCCGTTAGTAGAAAAAAGAAAAACAAGAAACTCACCTACACGGTGAGAGAAATGACAATTCACCCAAACTATTGCAAATCATTAGCATTTTCAACATTTCAACATTAAGAAAGGGTTTTGGCTTGGTTACCAAGGCAATATAAGCTTATCCAGGTGCTGAACAGGAGACCCAAGCAAAGAGGAGACCCTAATGTCCCTCCAGCACCACTTAATTCTCCTTAGGTCAGAGGAAATTCAACTGTCACTAATGGCAGTCTCAGCTCTACCCCCAAGTCTCTCCACCTGTGAAAATGGAAGTTAAGACAGATGTCATTTCAAAGGAGATACTACAATAGCGTGTATGTGTGTATGTGTGTGTGGTTATGTGTGTGTGTTTAGAGTGACCACTTTTCTAAGCAGGCTATGTTTTTTGCCTTAATTAAATGACAGATATTTGTTCTTAATCTTTTGGGATTTTTTTTTTTCTCTGCAAGGAGATTAAAATACTTAGTTTTCAGCTGTTTGGAATGAGTAAACTTTTTGCAAATGATATTTTAAGAAAATCACAGATAATCTGTTTAAAAAAATCCTTAATACAATTTGTGTAATAAATGAAGGTTTACCCACCCAACCCAAGAAATCGATGCAAGTAATTATGGCTGCATTTTCACGATAGATTTCTGGATTAGTGATTTAGTTCTCATTCTTGTAACACCTGCTTTCCCCAGTTTTCTGCTGCCCTTTGAAGTAGCAACCAACCTGTTTGGCCACATGGGCAGCAGGTGTTGTGGGCAGTACCCACAAAAGATGATCGCTTCTGCTCAGAAAACCCCACGTTGCAAAAGCCCCCTGATCTGAAGTTAAACTAGCCTGTCCTGATATTATATGTGCTAATTTTCACTTTGCAAAAACATTTTCCAGCAAGGATCTCATTTTACCTTCACAAGACTCTCTTAAGTTAGTAAACAAGTTATTCTACCCATTTCAGAGATAAAAGGAATGAGGCAAAGGGCTTACTGCCATACGTGTCGTAAAGGCAGACTCAGATTTCAAACATCCTATTTACCTTCCCTTAACAAAGTCTCACACATGATCATTTCAGACAGAAAGAAAATAGGGACAACCACCACCTAAATCATTAATGACTGAATTTGAAACTTACTTGCACAAATATACAGCAGGTGTTAATAAAAACCCAATTTCTCTTCTACTGAACACCTTGTTAAAAATTCATAGAAAGAGAAGTAGTGTTGGTACAAAACTCAAAGTAGCATAAGTTGGAAGTCTCAGACAAAAATCAAATAAGGATTTTTTTTTTCACAAACAGTCCTCACTATTACTTTGTTTCATGTTACTGAAAAGTTGATAATCAGTACAGTAGTGTTTATCAGTATGAAACTGGAAAGTGTCATAAGTGCAGTTTAAAAAACCCACTGGCTGAAGAGAGGTGTGCAATCAGAAGGAGTTGCAGACTGACTTTTCAAAACTTACGAAGGGGATTCTGTTCCGTGCCTTTTCATTTCCACAGTAATCATGTAAATGCTGCATCTTCATTATAAAAAGTTCAAAACATAGAAAAGTATAAAGACTAAAGTAAAATTACACAAAACATTACTAATCCCAGTTAGTACCTAACCACCGTTAACATTACAAAAATCTTTTTAGACATGACTGTACATATGGGAGCATATGATAGATGCTTGGCTTTTTTTTCCCCTTCACTTGAAAATGTATCATGGATAACTTTCTGTGTTGATAGTAATCTACATCAATATTTTAAACATCAAGACAGTATTTAATATATGAACATACTACATTTTATTTATCCTCTTGTTCTTCTGGAAATCTAGGCTGTTTCTAAAACATCATTGTTGTGAAGAAAGCCAGGGTAAACATCGTGGTGGGGACTGCCTGCCATTGGCTCTCCAGTGTTCTTTCCTTCCTTGTTAGCAGAACTCTTAAGTGAGTGGAAATATTTCTCTCTACACTAAAGACAAATTCTTGGATTTCTTTGGTGCTATTGTGGCCACGTGGCTTGTAAGCCAATGAGATGTAAGAGAAAATTTTTGTTAAAATCCTGAGAGAGTTTCCCCAAAAGAGTGAATTCAATCAAGAGCAACCTGTTTATATCCTTGATGACTGGTATGTGGGTATGACTTCAAGAGTTTAGCAGCCATCTTGGGTTTTGAGATGACCTTATAAATTATACATTGGGAAGAGAGAAGAAGGCTAGGTCCCTGAATTGCTTCCCTCCAGACTTTTTACATAAGAGAAAAATACAGTTCTATTTTGTTTAAGTCACTAATTTTTTTTAAGAGATTTTATTTGACAGAGAGAGATCACAAGCAGGCAGAGAGGCAGGCAGAGAAAGAGGGGGAAGCAGGCTCCCTGCTGAGCAGAGAGCCCGATGCAGGGCTTGATCCCAGGACCCTGAGATCATGACATGAGCTGAAGGCAGAGGCTTACCCGACTGAGCCACCCAGGCGCCCCTACATCACTAGTTAAAAAAAATATTATAAGAAGCATTATATAATACTGTTACAAATTCTAACTGATACAGAATTTGCTACTTGGAAGTGGGATGTTGCAAGTACCGGAGGACAAGACTTGGACTTGGTTTTGGGAAGGAGGTAAGGCTTCAGAGAATGGCGTTTTAGATATTTTGCTGTAACCTGGCATCCTTTCTCATGCAGAAAGGAAAACATTTGGTTCATCTATTGCTTTCTGTACCATGTATCCACTAAAACTATACCTTCACGGCAAATTACAGAAAATTACTTGTTACCTTAAAAAAAAAAAACCTCTGTTTATGATATTTTTTTGAAACTGAGATCTGCTTAAAATGAGATGGGTTGGAAAAAGGAAGAGTGAAGAGAAAACAATGAGCTGAAGAGAAAAAATAAAATATTTATTCCTTGAAAAAGAAACAGAAGGAAGAGATCAGATATCAGAAGTGCTTGCAATCTGGGTAGCTAATCTGAAACCAGAATATGGGCTCGGTAAGTTTTGAGAAATAAAAAAGATTCTGAAATAAAAAAGATTGAGAAATAAAAAGGATTCCCCACTGAAAATGGGGAATGACTGACAGCGTTTAGAATACTGACTTGGAAAATAAGCAGTATATATTTTCTATTTGATAAACAACTTTACTCAAGCCCTTTGAAATTTTTACAAATAAAAATGTGAGATGCTCAAAAAGCAACTTTATAATTTTAATTACCAGTGCTGTATACACAGCAGAAAACATTTATTGGGTGTACGTCCAACATTACAAGTGGCTACATGTCAGGTGTCTATGACCAGACTTCCCATAGTTTATAATAACAATCCTTCTAGACAGATAGATGATCTCCTTGCAAAGGGAAAGCTGTAGGTGATCTTATTTTTGAAATGTGAAAAATGCTCTTGCTCTCTGTGTTTCATCAACTTATTGGCATTTAGGGAGGAATAAGGTTCTATTGGCAAAACGTATCCGAGAGAGTTGTCAAGTTTTAGGAAGGAAGGTAGATGGAAAGTAAACACAGGGAAACTGAAAGTCTGGCAGAAACTACTGGTGAAAACAAGGAACAAATCAACCAATGTTATTCTAGGGAGGAGAGTAACAATTTGTAACCCAGTGCAAATTTCAGTAATACTTGGAATCAAATCTTCTACTGCTGAGGACAGACGTGGCCATTAACCTGGATGCAGAACTAGCTGCATGAAGTTGGTCCACAATAACAAAAGGAACCCTTCTCTACTGTATCTGATTGACACTGGAAACATCCATGCAGGCCCAACAGCCTGTGTTCTGATTATGCAGGAAAGAGGCAAAAAGAAAATTAGCTAAGCAGTTGGAATATGTTTACTCTTTGATGAAAGGAAATTCAGTTCTCCTGAAACAGCTTACAAAGGTATTTGCTGGTCATTCCTTGAATTACACCGAATAAATACAAGGCTTGTCTTCTTATCATAACTGTTAGACACAGAAGTAATTTCAATGAAATCTCACCAGCCTCAATAGTATCTAATTATTATTGAGAATTCATGTCCAGACATTTTCACTGCCATTATTACGGAGATGTTTGAAAGCTGAAGTAAGAAATAATATTTGAATGTATAACTGGCCTTGGAACCATTAATTTAGTAGATTAAGAAAGTTAGAATATCATCTCTTTCTTCCATTTGTAACCAGAAAATGCCTGGAACTATCATATTTTGAATGGTATCATTTAAGCAGTTTTCCCGCCTAAATCTGTTACTGAAGTTATGTGCTGCCTCCCAGTGGAGATATTTCAGAACGCACAGAGTAAAAAGAAGGCTTCAGGATGTACACACGTCGACTTTGGTTCTTCTGTTTTCTCTCATTCTTTCAACAAACATTTATGGCTCATAAGGGGCAGACTGGTGATACAAGAAAAGTTATTCCTGGTGCTCAAGAAATAAGATATTGCAAACAACATGAAATATGCATAAAGGCTCACTTAGTTGAGAACTTTCTGCCTCAAAACATCCACATTTTATGAATGTTATGTGTAGAGCAAAAACATACCAGCTCTTACCCTGT